GAGGTTTCAGTTGAATATGAGGAAAAACTTCTTTACTCTAAGGGTGACAGAGCACTGGAACAGGCTGCCCAGGGAGGTTGTGGAGTCTCCTTCTCTGGAGATATTCAAGGCCCGCCTGGATGAAGTCCTGTGTAGAATGCTCTAGGAGAGCCTGCTTTAGCAGGGGGGTTGGACTAGATGATCTCCCGAGGTCCCTTCCAACCCTTGCGATTCTGTGATTCTGTGATCTTCCCTATGCAAGAAGTACCAGACTCTGTTCCAGGTCCTGGGACAGGTTTTTGCTCAAAGCCTCTTTCCAGGTGCTGATAAACTTCAGGGTTTGTTCTGTATCCAAAAGATACAGGCTTGTTCTGTATCCAAAAGATAAATTCAACTCAAAAAAGTGGGACACATGAACACACTTTCATTTTTTCCAGCAGAAAGTTCATGCTTCAGCTAGAGAGAACCAAAATTCAAGGCGTACTACAAGCTCTTAGGGATGCCAACACAGCAACTTCAGCATGAACAAAAGTGGCCTGAGCCCCCAAGAGAGAAAAAAAAAAACCCACAAATGTGAGCAAACAGCCTGAAATACTCCTGCCCCCTGAGAAGAATAAATCCAGCAAATGGGAGAGCTGGCAGGGTTCATCTCTGAGCACAGGCAACAAATGGCCCCTCAGTTTGCGAGCTGGCTGCCAGCAGCACTGCCATGCTAGAAAGCAGGGGGCAGCAGATCCAGCCCCATCAGAAACTTGAAGTGCTTTTCTGCCAGCAAATTGGAGCTGGATATGAGGAGAGGTCCAGGGCAAGCTCCCAGCTCCTTGTATAGCCTGCCTGACTGTCCCCTTGGTTCAGGGAGAAGGGCCAGGGAGACCAAAGCATCCAGGAAATCTGATTTCTGCTCCAGGATGGATCAGATATATCACACCAGGATAGGAAAGAAACAGAAATGAGAGAACTGCCATGGCCTGGGCTTTGCAGAGGGCTCACCTGAGCTTCTCAGGGCTGTTGGCATCACCTCACACCCTCCAGCAGCAAGCAGAGGTCACCAAGTTGGGCAGCAGGAGCTGCCTCTGTCAGTGTCTCCCAAGGGTGGCAGCTCACCACATCTCAGGCCAGCTGATCATTCCTCCAAGATGAAATTGCCTTTAGCCAACGCTGCTTTCCATGGCTTGTGCACCCCACCAAACCCATCAGTGCTACAACACACCTCCCTCAGCCCAAAGCCATAACCCCACCACCCACCTCCTCCTCTCTACCTCTGCAACCCTCACCAGCCCCTCTTTCACCACATTCATACAGGACAGGGCACAGATCCAACCTGTGTCTATCATCACCATAAACCACATAGTAACCATACTTGGGGATGCTGGCAAACTCAATGTGGCACAGGATGGGCTGAATGAGAAGCCACAGGGCCAAGTCACATCAGCTTAATTACAGTGTGAGGTGTACGGTGATGGAGTAAGGCCAGAGGTGGGGACACAGGCACTAACAGGTTAAGTGGACACGTGCTGGGTGGCAGGTCCAGATGACACCCACCCTGGGGGACCACAGCAAGACACAAAAGCCACCCTGCCATTAGTTGAGACCTTGGGGACACCCAGGGAAGGGAAGATTAGGGATGATAATTCTCTCTAAGTGGAGGGAGAGAGATGAGAGACTCTCAGCCTGATTTCCACACTCAGAAACTGGAATGAATAATTAAACATCCCACCTGCAAGCACTGAGGATAACCCCAAGCCCACATCTCACAAGCACAGCAGATCCAACTGGCCCAGTTCCCCTCTTCACAAGGACAGTGGTCAGGGGGTGAAAGCCATCAGGGTGGCACAGCCTCACCACAGGAAAACTCCCAGTGCTGTCCAGTACAACACGCTCCCAAACCAGGGAACAAGCCCTGGAATGACTGCACACACCGCCACTGCCACCCCCTTTCCAAGCCTGGAGGCAGTAGCATCCCCCCACTCCCATTAGCCCTTCCTACAGCCTCTCCCTAACCCATCCTCAGTCCCTTTATAGCCCTGGGAAGCCCTCGCAGCTGGGCCAGGATGGGCAGCACCTGGGTGAAGGGATGGGCTGGGATAACCCTCTACTCGCCAGCCACCAGCCTAATGCTGCCCTCACCAGCAGCTCTAGAGGAGAGGGTTGGGGACAGTTGTGCATCTGTGTATTTGGCACACATGCTTCACCTGCCCTGTTCCACCCCATCCCATCAGTCCAGTATCATGTGCCTCAGTTTCCCTTTGTGTCCCCACCTGCTGCTGCAATTCTAAGGAAATTCCTGTTTTCTCCTCTTTTCCCTCCTTGAGGTGTTTCCCAGAGGGGCAGGCATCTTTCCCCATCCTACCTGTCCCACGACAAGATTTGGGGCATGCACACCCTGCTTCTGGCACCACTGGGACTGGTGGCAAGGATCTGGGGCACAAACGCAGCCCCTAAAAGGGTTTCCCTCCCACTGGCCCTGCAGCTCTCGGATGGGGCTTCCCAGCCAGGCTTGGTGGCCTCCCAGAAGCATCTTGCCCCTGGTTGCTTCCCATGCACCAGAGTCCCCAGGAGCTGGGCATTTCCAGCTGCTCCACCGGGAAGATAGGATTAAATGCCGGAGCTGGCTGGGATTTCCTCTCCCTGGCTGTGCCACGGTGCTCTGGCAGCAGTGCTGAGTGGCAGTCTGGTGCTGCTTCTGTGGATTTGGACCAGATCCCATTTATTCCATGATTTTCCCTGGCCCATGGCCTCTCTCCTTCTTGCTGACACTGTAGCGGTCCCCTGCTCTCAGCTCCAGCCTCTCATGTGCCCAAACTCTCCCTCGTGCAGGTGAGGGGCTGGGACCCCCAAACCTCCTGGCCGCTGCAAAGAGCAGCTGTTTTCAGCAGAAAGAAGGAATTTGGAGAGGACTTGAGTGGATTAGACACACGGCCAAAACGTGGCACCTGATTCCCTCAGGACTGGTGTGAATCCCATCCCACGTGGCTGCCGCTAATGACGGGTTTTAAATAAACGAGCAAATGCTGGGCAAATGGGAGAGATTTTCCTCTGGCACCATGCAGCATCGCCTGCGATATTTCTTCTCTGACTCTCCCTCCACCCACCTCCTATCTCCATCTGGCAGGTTATTTCCATCCCTCTCCCTTTTCCCACCAATAATGTGTCCAACACTACCCAAACCCGGGGAACAGCGAGGTGTGAACGGGAAAGAGCTTCTGGTGAGATGCCACGAGCTGCAGTTCCAAGAGCACCAGGAGCATTGTTTCAAACCCTCCCTTTCTGGCGCTTTACGTCTGTGTTAATTTAGACTAATTATGTCCACTATAAAGTGATGAGAGCAGTTTCTTCATCCCCGCTCTGGGTTTGGACATAGTGCTGGGTGATGAGTTGAACTGGGAGAAACCCACTTGTCAGTGAGGCGATCCGGGGCTGCCCCAAGGTGCAGGGGAAGAACCCTCTTAGCTGCTGCTGCAGTTGTTGTTTCCAGACACGACCGCCCTCAAATTCACTGCACGGGCAGCTGGGCTGGGGGAGTGCACTGGCAGCGGGGGGCAGCCCCCTGGGACAGAGGCTGCCAGCCCCCCGGCTGGCCCACAGAGGGACAGACATGCTGATTTTCTCCCCGGGGTGTGTGGCAGCTGGAAGAGGGTTGCCTGGCGGGTTGGCAAGTCGCATGGAGGGGTGACAGTTCCCGGGCTGCCTCCCAGGGCCGTGGCGTGGCCCGGCGCCCCGACGCCGCAATGATGGGCGGCCGTGACCCGGCTGCGGCCACGCTTCGTGGCATTTTGGCTCCCTCTGGTGGCAACACGCGGGAGCTCCGGCGTGTCCCAC